AAAACCCACTTGGAATTTCCCGACCCTGCTCAATTTCAATAGGCTTCGTCTCTTCCTGATAGAGGTTTTTTTCACAAAAAATGAAATCGATCGGACCACTTTTGCGATTTGTAGAGTGGTTACAAGGAACTTCCGGTGAAAAATCGAAAAAACCCGGAAAAACCACCTTAGAGTTTTCCGATTTCCTTCATATTTTAATGACATAATATTGTTTTGAGTACAATAAGATGGCAAAATTTCAAGTCGATATGTCAAAGGGTTCCGGAGATATATCGATTTATGATTAACACAGAGTACAGACAGACAGACTGACAGACCACACACAAAAACCAAAGTTGCTCAAAATTCGATGGGGATCATTTTCTCCAAAGCAACTATACCTCTATCTCGCTTAGTTTCCGAGATAGCATTTTTGGCACGGCCGTAGTATACTCCACTATGTATAGCGTCGTATAACAAGCCTGATGTAGTTCTCCTCAACCATCAAACCAAGGCGATGTTCGTGATTGAGTTTTAGGCGCCAGCCAATCCGAACATCGTTTTGAAGGAGGAGGAAAACCGGCTAAATATCGAGATCTTCTCTTCGAACTCCGTAGGCTTTATCCAGACCATTTTGTTCAAATGGTCATTCTGATTATCGGCTCCCTAGGTGGTACACGATCTATCGGAAATCCAGTAAATTCCAGCAAGCCATGATAAGGCACACATCCTAGCTGGTGGAATGCAAAAGGCCATGGATGGATCATTGCGTCTACTCAGGGCACATGGTTCATGGTCCCAGTGATTACTCACCGCACAGGCTTTGGGGAGTAGTCACTGGATTTTATCCAGTACGACTGTGCGTGGCGTCGGAGGCCACAGAGTCGTGACTGGAATTGAAGTAAATTCAATAATAATAACAATAAAATTAATATAGGTATAGTCAGTTATGGCACTTGGTATCATAGTGGTAGAAGAATTTTCATTGGAACAATTATTGTTATTGACCATTGGGCTTTGTTGTCTAATTGTTCGTGATTCGCCTAGATTCAAGGAAATTTCTAATGAGCTAGCAACTCTGCGTGCAACAACGCCGTAACGGCTTGGCCGTGCGACGATCTTGATTACGGAAAGCAACTTTGCACCTGAACTGCATCATGATGCACTTCGTTGCGAGGGGTGGGAGTGGGACATACTGGTACATGGTGGCCCCCCCCCTGTTAAAAAATGCGATGCCTTTGACGATAGAAAATTATGGATGGAAAGTCCAATAACTTCAGTGGCGTAAACATCATTTTTTTGAAATAGGTACTGATGGGAATAATATTGATTATTTTCTTCGTATGATTTTAAACCAATCAAACCGTTCAAATGAGTTAAGCTACCTTGTATAATTTCCACCACACTGTATATGTCATATAACGAAGACAAATTCCCATACCAGTTTTTGAAGGAAGCATGAGATGATAAAATGATATTGGGTTTTTCCGGTGAAAAATTGGCACCGTCCCTAGTCGTTACCACCGATACAACAAATTTGATTGGTTAATATAAATGACCTCGAAAATTCACAATGAAAATGGATTCCGGTAATATCACTCTGATAACCAGTTGACACCCGGAAAGTCCTCATTTTGAATATGGGAAATTTCAGCCAATGTTCTTGTAATGGTAGAAAATGTTTCTACAAGAACTATTATGATTGAAATATATTGCTAGTGGTAGAAAAAATATAATAATATATCTTAGTAGCCTCATGATATAATCTTGGCCCTTGGGTAGTTATGATTTTCATTTTATTACCAAGGCTTATAAATAGCTATTTATATTCACTTGTAATAATTGTAACGCCACTGCATAAAGCGGTTCAATACTTGCTCCTTTAGCCGGTGCTTAGCTCACTTTGCCCACTCTCTCCCAGTTGTGGTTGATATACTAGAGAAGTCAAGGCGGTGTTGCCAATCACAGCGTTAAATGTACAAACTGGCATCCACTTAATTGTCTTCATTTCGACGAGGAGGAAGTTTCTGCTTCTATTCCATCTCGTCTCGTGCAATATTATGTTATTAGTATTCAGTGGCGTCGCATTGTAATAAAGTTTCGCCGTAAAAATAAATAAGAAAAACGAATTTATATGAACGGGAAAAACAGTTGAAACATCATAGACAAAATATATTGATCTAATGATTTTTGTAATTCACCCTTTATGTTTTCACAGTTTTCAACACTTTTAAAAGTTGCTCAATGTTCACGTGTTTTATTTTCGACTGTTACTAGGAATATTATGAATATTTACTGGATGTTTGGATTTCAGATGTCATGTTCTAACTGGGATATCTCATTTTCTGTCTAGATAAAGTAAAGTCAACTGACATGTCATTGGTTCGTTTCTTTTCTTAATAGGTATTTGGAAGCAAAAACCACATGGCTGTATCTTCTCTGCCGATTGAAATATAGTAGGTAGGTATAGCAGAATAATATATTTCATCAGTAATGAGGATAACTCTACATTCTGAGGTAATTTTTATCGCTTAGGATGATCTGAAAAAATCGGTGCTTGGTATCATTTTTTCAAAGGAAACCTCTAGAAACAATATTTCTTAATGAATAAAATCGACAGATAACTTTTAAAGGTAGGGAAAAATCCTCATTTAACAAATTTATACAGGGTGTCTTAAAAGGTCTTTACAAAAAAATACTACATATTCCTCAGACCAAATCAATTTGATACTGTAAACTCACCTCATTACAAAGTTGCTTAATTTGCCCTCGAGACGTCTCTGAAGTAACAATTTTTTAATCGTTTTTGCTTCAGAACTTTGAAACGGCACATGCGATTACACTCAAATTTGGTATATAGGTATAGATTTGAAACTCATGCCAAACTTGATTATTTCAGTAAAACATCTAAAACTTTTAATGGAAAGCAAGGGGTATGAATATGACATTTGGATTGTGTAACTTATTCACTACAAAAAAACTTTTCCTGATAAAATTCAATTAGTCGCATGGTTTGGCAAAATTTGAATTTTAGTAAATATAGAGTAAGTTGGGTCGGTGGGTTGACCGAACAATATGGCATCCCTTCTATGTAGGTAAAAAGGCCATACTGAAATTACTGAATACTAATAAGCCATCACACTGGCAAGAGAGATCGTGTGCATATACAAAACCTTTGGACCTGTGCCGTATAAATTATTGCGGGGTCACTATGTATACCTAATGTAGGCACGTTGTTTTATATATCGGCAATTTTTTTCGCCGATTTGTTTCACTTCGTGCCGGTATTCTACCAGGAAAGTTTGTCGCAAGTTGTTACGTTTTTATGTCCCTGACGTAATACGTAAACATTGTGACAATAATAATTACTCGTGTTTGATTTACAATGATAGTCTGTCCGGCCGTAACTTGATAGTGCGGGAAATGTCGCCTGAAAAAAGTGAAACGGATATGACGACGACTGTGAGTTTTGGTAATATTTATATTTGTGTCTGGTCAAACATCCGGCTAGTCAGTAAAATTGAACGTTTTTGGAGATTCTCCGATCATTTTCTTCTCAAAAACTGTTCCGACAGATTTCCTCCGAACATTTAAAGATTTATCATAACTTCATTATCATAACAAAAATTCTCGCAGATATTATATCTGTTGCTGATTATAGTTCTTGAAATCGTCTTTTTTATAATTGATAACTATTTGATACACATACTCGTGATAATAACAAAAACAGTTAACCTTATCCATCATTATTTGCGAAAAGCAATTATGAATGTACAATTACTATATCTGAATCGGTGAACACCATCATCAACAAAATCAATATTTTTCATTGACAGCTTTACGGCTGAACAAAATTTGTTGGGTTAGTAGGACAGATATTTAGCAACAAAATTACAAAGAAGTTGGACTATTCCAAATCAATTATTGCTCTGAAAATAATATCGCCTGTGCGTTAGCCATCAGCGAATAACATTATTTCGTTCGAATTTCAAGACCTCAACCCAAAATATTTCATAGACATCTTGGAAGAAAAATAAAGGAACATTTTTATTTCAACATTCAATTTCTTTCAGAAATGATTTTGGAAATTTTGTTTTCATTACACGGGTCTGGAGAGCTTTGAGGCACTCTGATTTGTTATTCATAAATTTACATTCGTAAGCCTTTTTGATTTGTATAAATATTGTGCCCTAGTTTGTCATTGGCATTATTCTAATCCACTCGAAAATTATTCAAGGCAAGGTTATTCTCATTCAATATCAGCCAAATTATTATTCCTTTATCTTGGTTACTCTGTTGCTATGGAAATTTTCTTCTCATAAAGAATAAATTACAAATTCAAGTATACAGGGTGTCCTTCGTTTGCGGTTTACAACGTGTCCATGTATACTTGAAAATGTGTGGATTCGATTGAAATATCTGTAAAAATATAAAATCACGTAATATAAACAAACCGAAATTTTTCCAACAGAGCTTGATGATAGATTCACTATGATGGGTCATCACGAATCAGTTCGCGGTTGTTTTACCGTGAGGCAATGCGAAACTATGAGAGTAGAGAACAAATAAACAGATTTACTGGGATAACTGTAATTCATGATCATATCCATATCATTGTAATGCATTATAAAATGATTATTTATTTTTCGAGGACTAGTATTCTTCGACGACTAGCCAGTGTCTACATGAAATAAGTACATATCTTGTCAGATGAGGAGACGCAACGATAGTTCTTGTCAATGTCATCGACTCGCTTGTACTGACCAACTTGAGTATAAGAACGTGCTATCAACTGGTGTCCAAAAATGCTTCCATACATCCGTTCTGCACGACATTATAAATAGTATAACACTTTTCGATTTCCATTTGAATAATGTTGACGAAACGCACTGTACTATGATAATGATATTACTACTCGACCGCATCATCACCATTCATCACTCGCACCGAAACGCTTTCGTTCCACATCCAACCACCGCGCAATTCTCTCCAACTAACCTCCATTTCTTCTGATGTTCCAGCAACAGAAGTTCCTCAAGCGCTCCGCCGAGGAGCACGACCCAGGGGGGCCCGGAGGGGGCCAGTCGGAGAACTTCGAGCCCCCCGTGAAACTCCAATGCATCACCCAGCAACATGACACCCACCAAAACGAAGGGCTCACCAAGTTCTCCGTCGAGATCGTGCAGCAACTGGAGTTTACCACTTCGGCCGCCAGTTCCCAGCCCCAACAGATCTCCACCAATGTCACCGTGAAAACGCACGCGAACGCTTCTGTGAAAAGCGACGTTTCGTCCCCCAAATCGAATCCTTCCACCCCTCACCAAAAGTCCTCGAACATCGGCCTGGACGTTGGCACTCTGGTCGAGTGCAAACAGGAGCCCGACAACGACTTCGCCGATTTGGATCAATGCGCTGAAGCTCTGGAGAAGGATGCGGCCGCGAATGGAGGCACCTTCGGCAGCTTCTCGGACCTCATCGGCGACGACACCAACGACGAAATCATCTCGTCGGCTACCTTCAACGATCTCATCTCCGACATCAACAACTACCCCGACTACGAGCTGATGAAGGACTTCGACTTCGAGGACAAGTCCGACATTCCCAAGCAGGAGGACGTCAAGGACATCGCCCCGAAGCAAAACACGCACAGTCCTTTGCTGCAGAACTACTCGCCGCCTGTTTTCGACAAGGGAAGGATCCCTGCTTATCCGAATATGGACTTCTCGAAGAACGAGATGAGTCCGGCTGCGCAGACTCTGAAGCAGATGGCGGAGCAGCACCAGCACAAGAACCAGATGGGGCTGTCGTTTCCGCCCAACGCGAGGGCGCCCAATGCGCGGTCGCCCTATCCGGACTTCCAGTTTCAAGGGGACTTTGGCAGTCCGAATTCGAATCAGAATTACCACAAGAACAGTCCCAGCTTCCAGCAGCCAGAGATGATCAAGCAGGAGATGATATTCCAGGTAAGTGGAGGTGACATAGCTGCAAGGACGGATTTGGTGCAACAACAAAATGATATCAGTCTGAATCTGATAAATCCAGTATATTTTTAACATACATCTTCTTAATGTGATGCCCCATCAATTATTTGTTACATATAAGGCCGTATCTTGGTTACATATCATGTCATATCAAAACATGACCATTGCCTTGAAGATGAATAATTCTTGATATGTAGAGAACCTACAATGATGGCTGTATTTAACTTATTACGCTGCTTTGACTTCGGCAAATTTACTTGAGAAAATAGCTCCTCTTACGTTTGCTGAAGAATGAGGCAAACATATTTAATGAAGAATTAAATTGGCCTAGTTGGGAAATACTGATGAACTGTCTCCAAAACACAACTTTTTAAGTGCAAAAACTCACCTTATCAACTCTAAAGCCTAATATCTACAACCGTTTGAGTGAAATTTTGTCATTTTTTGATTTTCATTTTGGTTTAACGAACAAAACAGTAGGTTCCATGCCCAAAACAGGAGAACAGTAGAACGGAGACAGAAACTGAATTGTCTCCAAAAACACAACTTTTTAAGTGCAAAACCTGACCTTATCAACTCTAATGAAACACGCTGATTGGTCGGGATCGTGCTGAAACTTCTCGTTCGTGCTGAAAATACTCGTTCGTGCTAAAGCACGATCTATCATGCGCGCACGATCGATTCATCTTGAGCGAACGTTCCCTACAGCACGTAGGGAACGTTCCCCCCTTCACATCACTATCGGGTCAACATTGAGATTGGAAAAGATTCCCGAACTAATGAGTCTATCCGAATTCGTGTTCACCCTGTACCTATAACAATTTTCCAGGGCAGCGACTACGACATGAAACGGAAAAACGCCGGCATGTACAACAAGCAGCAGTACTCCCCTTACAGCAGCCCGAGCGCCAGCAGCCACGGCTCGCCCGGCTACCTGCCGAGAGGCGGGCCGCCGCCGCCCCCGCCGCCCAACGCGGGGGCGGGTCAATTCGGGGGTGGCACGCCACCTCGGCCGCCCTCGGGGTCGGGCGGCGGTGGTGGGAACGGGCCCTCGGTGCAGATCAACCAGGCGCAGCAGCTGAATATCAGCCAGCAGAGCCACGGGCATACGATACAGGTCAGTACTTTGATGCTTAATACAATAGTATATTACGTAATATGTGTTGTAGAAGCTATTACACACGAATGGAAACGTTACGCACATAGCCGCGGAGCGGTGAGTGGGTAATTGCTTTACAACACGCATTACGTTCTATACTTTTGGACGTGGACTTTGGACAAACAATCTGAAGGTGCATCAATGATTGTTCAAGAAATTTCATGTTGGTAACCTCACTTGTTAAAATTGTGACATCATTTTTGAAACGTTCAGCAAATGGAATATGAATGACTTTCCTCATTCTTTGCATGGATTGAACTGTACCTTATTGAAATAATTCCGAGCTCCAAGAAACGTGACTCCATGTCATGACCGACAGTTTTGGAGTTTCTGCGCATTGAGCAGAAGCGTTTTCAGACGAGAAATTTACCCAAGATTATCAGGTTGCTGCTATGTGACCAATAGCGGTCTACATACTCTAGATAGTAGTTATGGCATGTGAAAACTCCTGGAACATGTTGACCCCTATAGCTAGAATGGGCCTGTCTCAGTGAAAAATTTCATTTCATTATTTCACACTATTAACCCTCACTGGTTCACTATCACAAACCGTTTCTTCCTCAGAGCTCTGTAACATTTCATAATAATTATTTGAATTTCACGATATTCCAGAACATGAAAAACGCGGGACGTTATCATCCGAGAACACCATATAAGATTCGACTCACGTATCAATTCTCTATTTCTGATAGACAAGTACAAGAATATTTCTGATTGTCATTTCAATCACAACATGGAAAGAATTTTCTGGATTGAATACTTACTGCAGATCACAGCACCTCTTGACTAGATGAAACAAAGATTTGACGATGAAGATGACAGCCGAGCCGATATTAACGTCAGGTAGTTAGGTTCTCTCTCTCTTTCTGAATATGGCCCTTGTCTTACGACATACAGCCAGCCATTATTACGGAGAATCCGTCCCCATCCGGCCTGGATACCGGCGTAAATAATGAGAGTTTTTGTTTTTCGAGTACTCTGGATGACTCACAATCACAAAAACATTAACTTAACATCAGACCTGAAGACGCCGCCTGTCTTCCACCGCGGTCAGAAGTCGAATCGGAAGTTAGGTTAACAATGTAGTTTGTCTTCTTCTTCTTCTTTTTTTTTCGAATTTCTGGGAACTTAGGCATTACACTGTTGCCCGTGCCACAAAGTAATCTGGGATTCAATAAAAACTCGATCATTATTAGGAATACTAGGATATTTTTATTGGTACTGAAGCATGTTGCAAGTATATAAGTATTCAATAAGTGATTATTAGGGACCAGGTCGAACTATTGTTTTCTGTGTATGCGAATACTATTGTCATTGGTCATAATGTATCTCATAAAGTGATTACTAGTAACAAATCTGGCAGCGTCGAAATATTTGGTCCTACTTTTTATGCGAAAGACAGAATTCGGCTCATGACTTCATCGAACCTGTTTTTTTTTCGAAGTTGCCGAATTTAATTATCGAAAAAAAAATTGCAATGATTTTAAATAAGGAATGATTGCATCAAATACTATTTATACACGAAACGATCAATATAAAATAGGTATGTGGCGTAAATTCGACTAGTACAACTCCATTGTTCAGATTGGTCTAAAAATGTGTCAATTCCCAAACTTGAATTCTCGCGTTCGAGGTATTTGAGCTAGTGGAATCGTCCGGTACATTATGAGGAATATTCGTGGTCGCGTCATAATGGACCATATTTATCGTTTAATTAAACCGATTTTCATTGTCGTAGCGACGATTATGGGCGAGATGCGCCTTTGTTTCGTCAAACAATCCATTGGCTGGACCGGCCCATTCTGGCCGAACGACAAGTACGGACTGTGGAAATGAAAATTCAAATGAAATACGATTATCCTCATCGACATGAAACTCGTAGTCGGATATCCATGCATGTCATGAATATCCACCGCAGACTGTCATAGAAAAACTCCCGTATATACCGAGCATCTTTTTATTTTTTCCTTTGAAGTGCTAGAAAACGAACAATTTTTAGAATTTCATCTGTATTTTCTTCACACACTACTAAAAAAACTCGTCCCCGTAGGTCAGCTGAATCAAGGATACATATTGTTATAATAATAGCAAAAATGATCTTTCAACTTATTTTATTAATAACGTCTCCGTACCAACGGTCGTCAGAGACTCCTCGTTGACCAGGAGATGGTAACAGGTGACGTACTCCCATTTAACATTTCATGCTTTTTTAAGGCTTTATAATTAACCCCAAAATATAAATAATAGACGGGTTCCTGGTCGTCGCACGTGTGCACTTCATGAGGAAAAGCGCTTTTCTTTTTGTGATGAATTTTCGTTTTTCTCGTGATATTATACTGCCCGCCGTTGTGATAATAGAAGTTCAAACAAACTGAAGTGCTAATAATTGATGGCATGTAATACGCAGCGGCCGAAAGGGCTCAAAAGGGTTACGAAAAACTGAAGAAAATTGAAGGAGGCTTCCGTGTTTTCACATTCATGCCGATGTAAAGAATTGAAGTTTTAGTAACAAAAACCAACGGTCGAAAATTTAGTTATCAAAAAAGAGTATTTCTGATGATTTCAAAACATTATAAGAATGGGCGAGTGGACTGATACTGAATTATTGGCATTCAATTACTCCACTGTGTCGTTAGAAAACCTACTTTTTTTTTTTTAAAACTTCTCACGCTTTTTATATGTAAATAATGGGTCCATGCGTTGTTCGAATTTGTTGAAGCTCAGAGCTCATTCCAAACGAACCTTCATGGCCGCCATTTGGCGATACGTTGAATAAATGCTGACGTCAGTTTTTATGCTGTTTCGTAATTGGTCAGATAATGTTCCATTACCACTCATGAAGCAAGGTTGCCAAGTCATCAATTATAATCGAGTTATGAAAAATATGTTAGAGTCCTGTCGTTGAATAAAACATAATAGGAGGAACCCATGATATTCTAGTTCTTTCTCGACTTTTCCGAATAACCAGCATGTCCAAATATTTCTTATTCTCCATTACAAAATATCATGTAAATGTTGGCGACTTGGCAACATTGTGCTGAATGCTGAGAAATAACAAGACCACGCCCACAAGTCGTGCACCAGGTTGTCACGTTCACCGATTCAAATGTCCTCTAGTGTGAATTGATATGATACAAATCATAAGGGAACATTTTGAGACTATTGAATCTGCATTGCTAATTAGGAATATTACCAATACTCGGTTGAGAATTTATGAATTATTGAATAACTAATATTTCTGAAGTTCCCATTCGTATTTCAATACATGGCAACTGTGCTATTGCCTGCCCCTACTTTCGTTTTTAGTGGCGGTAAATTCCTAGCCGTTTGAAAATTACTGTGGCATTATCGATGATTTTAGCACTTGAAAATCGACCGAAAAATTCTCGAAAAATATGGAATTCAAGGTATTTGAGTGATGATTCTATGTGAGAAATAAAAAAAAATAGTCCACTCTCCTATTCATCCAGTGTTACGACCCCATTCTTATATTTCTTATAAAATACACAAAATTTGAAAACCATTATATTCCCGGTTCGAATATAAACACATAATATATGTTCATCTATTAATTTGTTGCAGTCATACACTTGTAGAGATTATGAAATGACGTTAATAGCTCAAAAATAATGATTCCACTGTTTGTACATATAATCATTGATTCGTGAATGGTATGATCTAATCTTCAAATCAAATGTTTCCGATCGAGAAACGTCAGCTCTCAATAATTCACGAAATTCGAACAATGTCCTCGAAGTATTCCGTAATGTTTCGTGCCTCTGCAATTTTCGAGATAAAACAGCATACTGTCGGGCTGACTATATCGCCTTAGAAAACACATTGGGAGCGATATATTCTTTCATAATCGCGGACCGTGACTGGATCGGACGCAGTCTAAGCGTCTCGCCATCGGAACCGTCGACGGTCCGGTCCGGTTAGACTGTGAGGGGATGAAACGGAATTTCGAGTGGCGGAGCAATGATCTCGAACGTGACCGCTATCACCGCTATAATACGCCGGCTTTATCAGCGATACTTTTTTAAATGCATTTAATGCACCTCGAGTGTTGTTTTACTATTACGTTAATGTTGCGGACCCAGTGGCGGAGTACCGTAAGAATTTTGTACATAATAATTATTCTGAACCTTATTATTCTTAGAGAAATTAAATACAGTTATTCGGTATAGCTTCAATATCCTGGACGCTTTTATACTCGTATTTACCCATTTGACCCTGAAACTACTTTTTCCGATTTTGTATATTTTTTTCTCAAAAACGGTTGATAGAAGGTCGCATAAGTCGAGAAAAAATTATAAAAAAATGTTCGATCTCCAGTTTTGGAAAATACAGCTGTCCCTTTAAAGGGACGGTAGGATAAAGAGCAAACTATTAAAAAATTAATCAAATAAATAATATGTTTATATTATATCATACGAAATGCTCAGCAAAATACTTGAAACTTTAGAAAATAACTAGTATGATAGGCCAAAAAATACGGTATCATAGCCTCATCAAGGCTGTGATTCTCTTCAATTTGGGCATGATTGAAAAACCGTCACTATCGATCCAAAACTTGACAAAATCCTAACGATCGCGATTGACCTTGTTTAAGATGTCAACAAAATATAATGTGACACTGGCGACATCTTCAAACCGTCAGCTGAATCAGAAAAATACAGGTTTCGTTTTAAAGTCCTTTTAAAAGGACGGTTGGACATTTTCAAATGTTTCGACATTCTTTCAGTTGGATAGTTTGATTAACTGGAAATTTTTGTCACAGAACATGAATCCCAAATCTAAATCACGCAGTATTGCCGATACTAAAAAATTCCACATATTTGTTGTTTTCAGAAACATACGGTAGCAAGGTAGGAGTTTCTTATAGTTTGCGAGTGAAGTCAAGAAAACTCGTCTATATGAATGATATTGAAATTATTGAGGATGGATTCATAATATGA